AACAATTTTGTTTTTCTTTTTATTTTACTTTGTTTTCCTTTTATTGAAAAGCTACCGCGGTATGTATAAAATAAAAATGATTGGTTTTTAGGCATTTTAATTTTCTTTAAAAAGAGTTAAGGTGGTTATATACTCATAGTTCATTATTGCAACGTGGAAATGTAAATACCAATTCATAGCAGTTGTCTCGTTGGAGGGCCTAATGGAACTAGCCATCCGTACTTCACTCTTTCTTTCATCTTTAATATTATAAATAACAATTAATATCTAATAACTAAAATTGATGTAATTATTACTATTTTAAAAATTAATAATATATTAATTAACTAAAATAACTATTAATGTCATACTCACGTAATTTTCATTTATCTAATGGTACCTTTTGAAATTCCTCCAAAAATCAAAATGTCAAATTTATTATCTATGGCAGTTTGGTAATTGACTTTTCTTTTATTTTCCCTATTTAATTCAAAAAATCAATAAATTCTAAACACTTGGACTGAAATTTTGTTCTCTCCCTCGCCCCGCATTCAAGATTAATGTTCAAAGAATCGAAGCTTTTGAGAATTTCTGAGAGTTTACTCGCCTCAAATATTTAATTAAGATTTGTATATATATATATATATATATATAAAGGGTTTATTTTTTCTAAAGTTACTTTAGATAACTTTATCTAATGTTCATCGAAACGACGTCGTTTTGGGGGCGGAAATAATGATATTTTTATAATTTTAATTTATTTCAGGGTTATAATAGTCTTTATCATTTTAATTTTTTAATTTTTCAACCTCAAAATGACGTCGTTTCAATGAACATTAGACAAAGTTATCTGAAGTAACATTAGATACATTTTTTCCATATAAAAAACCTTATTGTGATTTTTCACATTTCACATGTTTGGAAAATAAAGCAATAGCAGATATATCGATTAATCACCAAATGCAAAAAATCAGAATCATAACATCAAAAATAAGAATCATTGTTTCATGAATAACTCTAATATTCAGGCGAGAAGGGGAAACATATTTTTGTATGCTAATATTCAATTAGTCTTCAAGAAATAATCTTTATCAAAGATGTTCTGGATGAACATTAGTAGGAATTCTATCTCATTAGTGTCTACCTTGATCTTAGGCATCTATCACCTATATATATAGCTCTGCTTGGGCGGTTATAATAAACGTGGGTGGTTATCAGTGCCAATCTGGCATCGTGGTAGGGCCCAACTACTATACTAATACGTGGGCCTTTGCCTGGTCCAATAACTAAACCCCTGGAGAAGGGCTAGCCCTGGCTCCCCTAGTCGTTGTCCTCATAATGATTTACCCGGGGGTATAAACTCGGAACATTAAGCCCCCAAGCTCGGAGTTTAATGACTATTTTACTCCGAGTTTAACTCATAACTTATATCTGAAATATTTATTTCTTTTTAATACATCTGTGCCCTTATTAAATGCTTCCTACCTATTCATCTCCTGATTGCCACTTGTCCCTTTTTTTACTAACTTCGAACTTTGAAACAACGCGATTTGACAACCATCAATCCTTTTCATTTCAAAATTCGAAACGCCGGTTACCTTTTACCCTTTCTTTTCTCTCTTATCCGTTTTTAAACGCCTTTACCTTCTTCTTCCCTTCGTCTTCTTCCCTCTTCTTTTTTCCAATCTCCCTTTCTGGTTCATGTTTTGCTCTGCATTTTCTTGAAGTTTTTCTTGCTGACTTTGCCGCGACTCAGTCATCTTTGATCGTTACCTCCATGCTCTTCATACAAGTAAGTCTCTTAACTTTGATACTCATACTCTTTCCATCTTTTTTGCCCACTTTTTTCATCACTTTATCCTTATTTATCTTCTTCGCGTTTATCATCATGATTCTTGTAAATGCTTCTTTAAGTATTGACTTAATAACAACCCCTTAAATTCCCTCATACCTTCCTCACTTGAAAAGATTTTTCTTTTATCTTTCTACCTTCACCTCTTTTAGAATTCCTTTTACTAGCTTTATTAGGTTCTGGACTGATTAAGGATCAAATTACGACACCATGTTCTTCGCTAGCATATTAACTTGTAATATATTTTCTAAACAAGATTTTACTGGTGCCTTTCCGTCCAGGCTATGCCGAGGAATCGCCCCTACCGTTCGCTTCCCCTTTCTCGGTTTGCAATTCCTTCTACTGTGGAAGGTTTAGAATGGGTTGACGAAGAAGCTTTAGGACTTCGTTCTTCTTATGAAAACCACCCGAGTACTCTCCATGCTGCCTTACAATCAGTGCCTATGTTCCATGATTCTATTATCACTTCTTTCCGAGTTGTTGTACCCGGAGAAGAGGAGCGTATCTGTTCTCCTTCTGGGCAAGGTGAGAATTCTTTCTTTTTTGTGCATAAATGCTTATTTTCCGAGCTCAAAGTAGTCCTGTCCTTCACCGAGTTCCAAATGGACGTCCTAAATCATCTTGAAGTCGCCTCTTCTCAACTTCATCCTAACAGCTGGTGCTTTTTGCATACCTTCGAGATAATTTGTCGATCTTTTGGTTTTACTTACTCTTTTCGGGTCTTTTTCTGTCTATTTGACGTGTTCTGAAACGCTATTGACAAAGGAAGTACTCTCCATAGTTGGGTCTCTTTAAAAGCCTGCCCCGGATTTCGTTGGTGTACTATATACGAGGATAACTGGAAAATTTTCAAAGAAGATTACTTCAAAATTTGTATACCTGAAGCTCTTCCTGCTACACCTTATGCCTTTTCTTCTTCTTCTCAATCTGTCCCTCCTTCTGCTTTCTTTCTGGATCAAGACGAAGCTCCTCGCTTCCCTCTCAGTTGGAACCGGAATCATTATACAACTTCTGCAAAAGCATTTTTAACTAACTCCAAGAATCTGAGTACCGAAGAATCTGAAACTTACACTTGGTTCAAAAATCTCGCCTCTCAATTAGCTAAGCAAAATGTTTCTATCATTCCTCGGTCTATTCTAGATTATAAAGATTCCTCTGACTGGATTTGTAGGAAATTGAGTAAGTAACTTACATGCCTCTCTTTTGCTCTTATATATTGTTCTACGTTTAACTCCATGTTTGTTTTCTTTCCGTGTTTTTGCTTCTCAGATAAATTCATGGATCCTGCATTTTTTGCCCAGATGAAAAAGAAAGATGCTCGTAAGGATGACTCCGCTGCTTCCGGCGATAAAGCCGTGCGTACTGATCACTCCTCAGTTTCTGGCGAGAAGGAAATTTCTCCCACTCCTTCTTCTATTCTGGCTACTTCAGCTACGGGTTCTATTCCCGGTGACACTGTCGTGATGGACATTGAAGCTCCAGTAGATTCTGGCGAGCTCCGCCACAGGAAACGAGTTAGGATTGATGAACCTAACCCTGATCCCACTTCTGCTGATAAGGCCTTGACTCCTCCTACTTCTGTTATTGCTACTCCTTTTTCGGGTCCTCATTTTATGAACAAATTACAACCTTGCTTTAGTGCTGGTCTTCGCGAAAAATGAGATAAGTTTTCTTTGGATCAGCTTATTTCTAAATTCACTGCTATTCGGGATAACTCTCTCCGAGAAGCCCACTATTTTGAGATGACGCTTCTAGCTTTGGCTAAACGTCAACAACTTCTTGCTGAGCTTAAAGAGTTACACCTTTTTAAGAACAACTTCTGTTATTGCTCGCCTGTATTGGTTACGGGATTACCCGCCTGCTGCCATCCTTCTCTTTGGCCTTGATCTTCCCACACATAATAATACCCAGTCTCCTCAGACAAGAACCCGCCTCTATGATTAGCATATCGTCTTTCTCCTTCCGGCCTCCTCCTTCTTTCAGCCTCCTCATATCGCCTATGATTTGTCTCTCGTTCTTCCTGACGAGTATAATACTGGCAACCTACTCGGGGTTGCCCTTCCTCCCAATGTTCCCATTCTGCTTGCTCGTTTTCCACTCCTAGGTTCTGCTGACCTCTTCCTGTTTCCTGAGCATGTTCATCATATGCCCGCTCCTCCATTCTCCGGCCTACTCCTCGTCCTCTATATTGGTAACTCATCCTTTCTGGAGGACTCCTTGACTCTCAAACTCTTCGAACTTTGGTTCTTTCGTTTTCTCTCACAGTTGGATGTGACAACGAAATATAACTAGGAAGGGGAGACGGAGAACCTCTCCTCCCATTGGCACCTTGTTGCCCATTTTCTCTAAGTTGTCTCTCTTCTGAACAATGTCTCCTTTGTCCTCCTTCCTGATGCTGCCTATTCCTTATATCCTCCACTAACTGAATCAAAGCCCCAATAGTATTCAGGGACCGACTCCTTCCACTGGATCGAAAAGAATCTTTCGTTCCTCTGTTTTCTCCATTCTCCACCGCTCGCTCGTCACCGTTGTTGCTTGTCATGACACAAGAAAATGCGTAGGAATAGTTTTACCTTTCCCACAGACGGCGCCAAATGTTCTGGATGAACATTAGTAGGAATTCTATCTCATTAGTGTCTACCTTGATCTTAGGCATCTATCACCTATATATATAGCTCTACTTGGACGGTTATAATAAACGTGGGTGGTTATCAGTGCCAATCTGGCATCGTGGAAGGGCCCAACTACTATACTAATACGTGAATGATATAGTGCCAAATGGTTATCAGTGCCAATCTGGCATCGTGGTTATAATAAACCTTTGCATGGTCCAATAACTAAACCCCTGGAGAAGGGCTAGCCCGGGCTCCCCTAGCCGTTGTCCTCAGAATGATCTACCCGGGGGTATAAACCCGGAACAAAAGACAAAACTACCTGACATAACTAAGAATTCTGAATTTCATTCCTCAACTTAATCCCAAATGAGAGGGATTAACTAAGATAGTTTTAGTAAAACATGTAAAAAATCCATCACATGATACATTTTTAGTCACATATTCACATATATTATGCTGCATATCATACCTTTCGGTATTATTAAAAAAAAAAATATTTCCCATAAACCTCTACTAATAAAGATGGGTGAAATCAATCTTTGTAAAAGCCTTTAAATACTATTGATGAATATATAATTACATGCCAAATTGAACTTCACTAAGACATAAGAAGCAATCACGTCAAGGGTGCTATTGAACCATTGACAATTCCATCTTTGGAAATGATGCTTGGTTAGTCCAATAAAATAGGCTTCTTTAACCAATATTGCTGAAACCTCTGCCTTGCATATTCCTTGAAGTCAAAGTCAATCGTACTGACATAACTCTGCAACACACAAAAGAACTACAATTAACACAGAAGTAATCTTAAGAATAACCAGAAAAATAGAAAAAAAAAAAAAAAAAAAGCATACCGAAATAAGTCCCCACAAGCCCCAAAATAGATGGTTTGCAAGAGTGTATTTTTCTGCAACATTCACTAACTGCTCCACTTCAGTGTTGCTTGGTTTCTTGCCTGAATACAAGTTTCCAATTAAAATTTGTAAACACATGGATGAAATTCACAAGCATTGTCATTGAAGATATGATTTCATTTTTTATAACATGATATTGAAGGATTCATTGTGAGATTAATTTAGTCAGTATGCAACAATTCTTAGAATTACATTAACAATAAAGAGTGCATAAAGCAAGTCGGATAAATAAGCATTAATTAAATAAATGCATTCTAGCTCCAAATCTACAATGATAGACTAATCAATAATGTAAAGTATTTTAAACTTTTGATTGTCCACATGAGTAGTATAGGTGCATTTAGGCTTATACAAGCCTAAACTGAAGAGAAATATATTCTTCCCTATTTACTTCATTTTATCACATAGAGATGTTATAAGTATAACAAACCATTCCCCATTAAATCCCGAATATCGAAGGTGGGACGTGGCCAATCTTTGTATATTTGCAAATAGACTATTTTCTGAATTCGAATTCATGACCTTTCAGTCAAGAAAGAAGCAGCTTCATGAGGCTCGTCCAATGTTATAACAACAATGAAAAAAGATGCTAGAGTGGATTCTGTACCACATATTAAAATTAAACTAGACTGTAGAGCTAGTTTATTCATTCAACTGAGTCATCAATAGCAATTATCTAAATCAAGATCTCTGCCAATCATGTGTATTGTTGGAGTGAATTTGTCAGTGGACTAACCTTCAGAACTCAAATAATTATAAATAAACCTTTGACGCTCCTCCAGACCTGGTATACCATATATAATTTGGTGTCTCAGTTATGCAGAGTGATCTCAATAAACATTGTAGAAATGTAATAAATAGACTTTACCAGGATATTTAGTGTAGCCAAGATCATGAGGTTTGTCACTATGGTAATTTGCCACCATTTCACAGAAATGATTTGCCAGGTCATATGCAATAGGATTGTAACTGGCATATTCATAGTCCTATATCATCAAAACATATGAACAATGGGAATGAAAAATAAGTTTATTGTAAAAAGATGAAAAGAGACGATGAAAGTGGTAGTATCTATCCTCTGACATGGCATGAAATTCATAAATTTTATGTTCATTGACAACTTTTCATGGTGACTCTATGTTGGAATAGCAAAAAATAAAAGCAAAATGAAGACCACAACAACTACCAGACCCAAATGATTGATTTGAATAATAGATTCAGAACTCCATTTAAGAAGACAAAACTAAAATGTAAAATTTCAACAATATAAATAGAAAATTACCTATCCCAACACGAATACTAAAGGGCCTCCATTTAAGAAGACAAAACTAAAATGTAAAATTTCAACAATATAAATAGAAAATTATCTATCCCAACACGAATACTAAAGGGCCGACCCAGTTCAGTTCAAATACTCACTTCGTGAGTGTCTGGGGAAGGGAATACTCTAGGCAGTCTTTCCCCTGCTTTTTGCAGAGAGGCCGATTCGAACCCGCGACCTGACACACCACGGCAAGCAAGCTTACCGCTGAGCCAAGCCGGCCCTTCTATCCCAACACGAATACTAAATAGAAAAAACTAGCATTGCAATACAAATTCAAAAGGTACAGCAATAATGCCAGAAACAGAGAATATAACCACAACATAGCAAGATAACTTACAATTAAAATGATTGATCTTTTCTCCTCATCTATCATTATGTTACCATATTGTAGGTCATTGTGACAAAAACCAATTTCTTGATGTCCTTCATATAACAACTCCTCCAGCATATTTATTTCAGCATCTAGATTGTCCAGGACAAAATTCTTGATATCCTTTGGGGAGCACAAGCTTTTGGTATGACTAAGCCACTTCCTATTTTAAGTATGGAGAGCATATATAACTAATCTGTACAGAAATAAAAAAGGGTTTTGAAGATTGTTCTGATCTACAGTTACCTCATTCTCTGCCAAATCTGAACCTTCTTTGCACCAGGCATATGAAGTTTGTGAAACTCCCTCATCTTTGATGCTATCAGAGCAGATATTTCAGGGTCCCTGAGGTCAGCAGCTGAGAGTGTCTAAAAACACAAAAGTAGGTAAAGAAAAAACATGTTATGCTCCATGGTTTGCCATGTTCATCGTCTCAACTTTCCTTGATATTTGGGTGTACAAAATGAATAAAAAATTTAAACTGCATTCAAAATAATTGACTTTGAAAGAACCATTTCAAGAATCGAATTAGTTTAAAAACTAGTTCATTTTTTTTTCTTTTTCTCTTATTTTTTTATTTTTATTTTTTTCTTATTTATTTATTTGGTGGCTTTTTTATTTTATATTTATTTTTATTACTTTTTCTCTTTTATTTTTATTTTTTCTTTTTAAAATAGGTTCGATTCGAATCGATTCCGAACTGTTTTTAAACCGGTTTGGGGTAAAAAAGTTCGGTTCTTTGAATCAAATTGGTTTAAAATAGTTCGGTTCATTTTTTCAAAAAAATTCAGTTCAATTTGACCCATACTCACTTCTTCTTAAGACTTTAATTGATTTTAATCCATGAAAAAATACAAAGAAATGAGAAAGAAATACACAAAAGCAACTATGGGATGACCTCCCTATTATTTTGTGGGATTCATTAACTTTGCTTTTTATGTTTTTCTCTCTCACAAATATGATATTGTCATGTAAGTAACACACAAAAATCCAAATGCATATAAAATCATTGCATCAATGATCATGTAAATAATTATTTCAACAAAAAAGTTTAAATTATTCGATGAAGACTATATTAATGGTTTTATATTATATTTTTCTATTGTGTTCCCTTACATAAGAATCCATTGACATTAAAGGATGGATAATGCATATACTCATCTACCTATCTTAAGAAACTCTATAATATTTATTTATGGGAAATAGTTGTCTTATGTCACATAAGACAACTATCTTATGTTGTACACTCATGGAATCTTGTGCCCATTTTTTCTTTTTCTTTTTTAATTTTTTAAAATTATGGGCTCTACAACTTTGTTTCACCCACATAAGATATCTATCTTATGCAACATAAGATTAATAACTCCCTTTATTTATTAATAGAATTAGGGCGTTGAGGATCAAACTTGTAACTACTTAGTCGACTCTAATATTATGTAAAGAACCATTTCAACACAAAAAATTAAATTGTTAGATAAATACCCCATTAATAATTTTATATTAAATTTCTCTTACCGATAACAGAAAATTTCCCTTAAACTAAAAGGAAAATTCTATAGGGTAGCAGTAAGGTCTGCAATGTTATATGGAGTTGAATGTTGGCCAGTACATAGGCAATACGAGCATAAAATGAGAGTAGTAGAAATGAAGATGTTAAGGTGGATGTGTGGTTATATAAGGATTGTTAAGATAAGAAATGAAGATATTCGACGAAAGGTAGAAGTAGTACTGATAACTGAAAAGATGAGGGAACATAGATTGAGGTGATTTGGGCATGTAATGAGACGACCCCTGGATGCTCCTGTAAGAACAAAAGTTTGTTACCAAGAGCTCGACACAAAAAGAGGTAGAGGTAGACCGAAACTTACTTGGGGAAAGGTAGTTAAACAAGACTTAATGGAGTGAGATTGGCGGACGATGTGTCTGAGGACGGAGTGGAGAAAAGCTATAAGCAGGGTGAAAAGTTAAACCCGTTGTTATTCCTATGTCTCAGATAGTCCATTTTTAGTCATTTTCCTCTTCAATCCCCCTATCCTTCTTTTCCCCTTCTTATCTTTTATCTTATTTACCCCTTCCCCAGTTTTTTTATTTTTTATTTATTTATTTATTAATTTTTTTTATTTTCTAATCTCCTTTTATTTATCATTGAGCCATCTACCACCGACCCCAATTAACTTGGGTTAAAGGTGATGTTGATGTATTTCTCTTACCGATATTAGGGAATATCATTAGTTGATGTTTTGATGAGATATGCCAAGTAGGGGTGTAAATGGGCTAGACCGGCCTACAAAGGCTTACAACCTAGCCTATATTACCAAACTTGGCATATTATAAATAGTAAAATAGAATAGACCTAGGCTTTTAAAAATACATATTTAGAAAATAGGCCATAGACTTTTTTGTACATGTCTGGCCTATAAGCCTACAAGCTGGCCTATATCATATTATTTATTTAAAATATAATAAATAAAATTATTATTTTAATAATTTTGAATAATAAAATAATATTATTTTAGTTATTCTTTTAATTGTTGAATGTTTAATATGCTTAAACAGGCTAACAGGCCTAGGCCAATGCTTTTATTTTTTAAATATAGATCAGGTCAGACTTGTAATTTAGGGTCTACACATGCTAACAGGTCAGGTCATACCCAATATTTTTCACACAAACCTGGCCTATTTAAGCTAAAGCCTAGCCCAGCCCATCTACACCCCTACTGCCAAGTTAAGGTGGCTAAAATTTAATTTTAATTATTTTATTGAAAAATCATATTCTACATCTTAATTCTCATTTAGTCAAGTTTAAATTTGTTCACCTTAATACAATATATGGATGCAATGCTAATCATATATAAATAGGGAAGGAAAAAGTCTATTTTGGCATCATCACTATGATCTACGAGTCAGATAGATAAAGAAAATTTATGGACTATACAAAATGGGAGCATGTTTCATTTAGAGAAACCCAGTCAACGAAACTACAAAATACCCTTTTGTTTATTTTGAGGTGATTATCATGCCAAATTTATATAACTCTAAATCTAAGAGCAATCTTGCCATTTTTTTTTCTGCATAAATTATACATTTCTAATTACTATATTTACAAATAATCATTTATTGACTTAAATAGATGAAAAAAAGACTTCCCAGGTTTTCTTCTTGTTCAAAATAAGCATGATTTTGTTAATTCTTTTATTTTTAGGTAACTTTGTTTTTAATTCTTTATCAATAAAGTAAGAAAAAGAAATTTCATTTAGGGAAGGAGTTAAAAAAAAGATAAAAAGAAAAGAAAAGAAGAAAGGAATGGTATAAAAGCATCTTAAAGCACTCAATCTCTCGTTTCTCTCGTTGACTTAACACATTAAATTTAAAATCTTAAAGATGCTTCTCAATTAATCTAAAAAACTGACAGCAAACGCTAACCAAAAGATAGTAGAATTAAAAAAAAAAAACCAAAGCCAAAGAAAAAACCCTTTTCACTAAAATAATAAAGCAAAATGATAAAGAAAGAGCTTAGTGACTTTTTAAATTAAGCATATATTCTCCAAATCACAAAACCATCAATTTGAGTATAATAATTGCGGGAATAACATCTATCTTTTAAAGGATATAAACTTATATCTTTTTAGATCCTAACCGTTGATTTTCGTCTATCAACGGTTATAATTTATTGAATTAAAATTATTAATTAATTAATAATAAATTTGGCCCATTAAGTTTGGCCCAATAAATTATAATCGTTGATGGACGAAAATCAACAGTTAGGATCTAAAAATATATAAACTTATATCCTTCAAAAGGATAGATGTTTTTCCCAATAATTGCAGCAACTTTTATAACATTACTGAGCAAAAATAATTCTATACAGACACATGACAATGAAGTTAGAATTAATTAAGGGAAAATGTTTTGTCTTTTAAAGGTTATCAATTATGTCATTTTAGCTACTCATAACTATATATTTGAAGGAGTAGATAATTATAATATTAAAGTTGTATTTTTTTTTCACTTTTTACATGAGCACACAGGTTCGGAAGACGGAGAAAAAAGTACATGAGTACATAGTTATAAATATTTAAAATAACAGAATATGTGTCCTCGTTAACTAATTAAAATTGTTACTATCAACTTTGTTACTATAAGAATAAGGGGTAGAATATTGTAATAACTAATTAGGATTACTATCAATGTTATTATCAATCAATTTTACCATTAGATCGATTATGTTGATCTAATGATTATATTTATTTATATCTTTGTATGATTATGATTCCCTGTATTTGATGTGACAATATTAAATATGAAAAATCATAAGCATACAAAGATGGAAATAAATATAAAGTATTAAATATAAAGATCATAATTATATAAAGATGAAAATAAATATAACCGTTAAATTAACGTAATCGATCTAATGATGGAATTGATTAGTAGTAATATTGATAATAAGATTGCATACCCGGGCATGGATGAACTCTTCAACTCGGCCAGTGGTGAATAGGCCAAGAAGGCGTGGACCCAGTCCATGCTTTGAAATGCACTCAAAGGTTTGGATTTCATCGACCCTGTTGAAGAAAACATCAACACCTTCACCATATAATCGAACAAGAACCCTTCTACGATTACCATCACTTTTTGTTGGCCAGTTTATCTCGAAAACCTCATTGGTCATTGCCCCACTTAGAGGTATCACCTGCAAGGAATTCATGTCATCGATTACATCTCCCAAATCTTCAGCCACTGATTCAAGAACTTCCATTATCTCTTCATGCGATGCATTCCCTTTCAACAATTCAAATGTCTTTATGGCCATTCTTGATCAAAGAATCACTGAAAACCAGAGAGCTCTGTTTTCAAAACAGGGGAAATTGAAACAGAGAAGTTAATAAGTAGAAGATCTTGATGACCCGGTTGTGAAAAAATGAAGATCTAAGAACCCATTAGAAAAAATTGAAAAACATAGAAAAAAGTTATAATCTTTGTGAAATTAATAGAAAGAAAAAGGTTGAATCGGGATTATAGAATCTTACCAGAAAACAAGAGAAGTTGCAAACAGGGCAAATTGTGGCAGGGGAAGTTATCTGATGGAATCAGAGATGATAATTCAGAAACTCTCACCTTTGAAGAATAAGAAATTGAAAACTGGTTTGGAATTATCAGAAAATAAAACACAAGAAATGATGATTCAGAAACTCACCTTTGAAGCTGGGAAGGTTGGAAAAGAAAACAAAGCAAAAACGAGAAAACCTCTGCAGTGAAGAATGCATAAAAAAGAGACAAAAACTTTCAGTTGCAGAAACACATCAGAAATCAAAACAACAAAGCATGAAGAATGATAAAAATAAAACAAAAAGAACAAAGAAAAAATAAAAAGAAAAGCAAGAAAGTAAAAGTACAATTTTAGATTTGTAAACTGACCCAAGAAGCAACAAAGAGACTCAGAGCTGTCCAAGAAGGTGGTGAGAGTTTGGTTGAGATACCGACATTAATGATCTTTATAATGTGGGGAAGTCAAAAGAATGGTATGAAACAAAAGAAAGCTTGCAATGGAGGAACTTTTTGTCAAATGAATTGTTTAATAATCGATGAATTGTGATGTGTTAATTATAATATATATAGTTGATTGTAATGGTAATGCAGAAGTCAAAGAAAATGTTAATGCTTCCTTTGCCGTGAGCTTCATGAACTAAAATTATCTTCAATTTAATTTTTTTTTTTTTTTTTTTACTTTTGAAATCAGTGTATATTTTGAAATGTGAAAGATTCTTGTGAATGTGACAACTAATAACTAATCACATTGAGAGAATCATGGATAATTTGAATCTTGTTACAGATTCCGGGGCTTGAAAATGGCTTTGCCAGAACACAAGATTGTGATACCTCACCCACCTTATATCATTATGGATAAAATTTCCCCCCTGAGGTGTCGCATTCTCCTTAAATCTCAGCTTTCTGTTCCCTAGAGGATGTCTTGAAAACTTACTTATTTTCGATATAGTGAACAAAATATGTATGTTTGAATTTCTGTTCACACTAGAGGATTCTTTCCGTTTTAATGTAAAAAAAACTTTTGAAAATTAGCTGAGGTGTCGCATTCTCCTTAAATCTCAGCTTTCTGTTCACACTAGAGGATGTCTTGAAAACTTACTTCTTTTCCATGTAGTGAACAAAATATGCATGTTTGAATTTCTATTCACACTAGAGGATTCTTTCCGTTTTGATGTAAAAAAAACTTTTGAAAATTAGCTGAGGTGTGAGTATTCTCCTTAAATCTCAGCTTTCTGTTCACACTAGAGGATGTCTTGAAAACTTACTTATTTTCGATATAGTGAACAAAATATGTATGTTTGAATTTCTGTTCACCCTAGAGGATTCTTTCCGTTTTAATGTAAAAAAAACTTTTGAAAATTAGCTGAGGTGTTGCATTCTTCTTAAATTTCAGCTTTCTGTTCACACTAGAGGATGTCTTGAAAACTTACTTATTTTCGATATAGTGAACAAAATATGTATGTTTGAATTTCTGTTCAAACTAGAGGATTCTTTCTGTTTAAATGTAAAAAAAAACTTTTGAAAATTAGCTGAAGTGTCGTATTCTCCTCAAATCTAAGCTTTCTGTTCACACTAGAGGATGTCTTGAAAACTTACTTATTTTCGATACAGTGAACAAAATATGTATGTTTGAATTTCTATTCACACTAGAGGATTCTTTCCGTTTTAATGTAAAAAAAACTTTTGAAAATTAGCTGAGGTGTCGCATTCTCCTTAAATCTCAGCTTTCTGTTCACACTAGAGGATGTCTTGAAAACTTACTTCTTTTCCATGTAGTGAACAAAATATGCATGTTTGAATTTCTATTCACACTAGAGGATTCTTTCCGTTTTAATGTAAAAAAAACTTTTGAAAATTAGCTGAGGTGTGAGCATTCTCCTTAAATCTCAGCTTTCTGTTCACACTAGAGGATGTCTTGAAAACTTACTTATTTTCGATATAGTGAACAAAATATGTATGTTTGAATTTCTGTTCGCCCTAGAGGATTCTTTCCGTTTTAATGTAAAAAAAACTTTTGAAAATTAGCTGAGGTGTCGCATTCTTCTTAAATTTCAGCTTTCTGTTCACACTAGAGGATGTCTTGAAAACTTACTTATTTTCGATATAGTGAACAAAATATGTATGTTTGAATTTCTATTCACACTAGAGGATTCTTTCTGTTTAAATGTAAAAAAAAACTTTTGAAAATTAGCTGAAGTGTCGCATTCTCCTTAAATCTCAGCTTTCTGTTCACACTAGAGGATGTCTTGAAAACTTTCTTATTTTCGATATAGTGAACAAAATATGTATGTTTGAATTTTTGTTCACACTAGAGGATTCTTTCCGTTCTAATGTAAAAAAACTTTTGAAAATTAGCTGAGGTGTCACATTCACCTTAAATCTCAGCTTTCTGTTCACACTAGAGGATGTCTTGAAAACTTACTTCTTTTCCATGTAGTGAACAAAATATGTATGTTTGAATTTCTGTTCAAACTAGAGGATTCTTTCTGTTTTAATGTAAAAAAAACTTTTGAAAATTAGCTGAGGTGTCGCATTCTCCTTAAATATCAGCTTTCTGTTCAAACTAGAGGATGTCTTGAAAACTTACTTATTTTCGATATAATGAACAAAATATGTATGTTTGAATTTTTGTTCACACTAGAGGATTCTTTCCGTTTTAATGTAAAAAAAACTTTTGAAAATTAGCTGAGATGTCGTATTCTCCTAAATCTCAGTTTTCTGTTCACACTAGAGGATGTCTTGAAAACTTACTTATTTTCGATATAGTGAACAAAATATGTATGTTTGAATTTCTGTTCACACTAGAGGATTCTTTCCGTTTTAATGTAAAAAAATCTTTTGAAAATAAGCTGAGGTGTCGCATTCTCCTTAAATCTCAGCTTTCTGTTCACACTAGAGGATGTCTTGAAAATTTACTTCTTTTCCATGTAGTGAACAAAATATGCATGTTTGAATTTCTGTTCACACTAGAGGATTCTTTCCGTTTTAATGTAAAAAAAACTTTTGAAAATTAGCTGAGGTGTGAGCATTCTCCTTAAATCTCAGCTTTCTGTTCACACTAGAGGATGTCTTGAAAACTTACTTATTTTCGATATAGTGAACAAAATATGTATGTTTGAATTTCTGTTCGCCCTAGAGGATTCTTTCCGTTTTAATGTAAAAAAAACTTTTGAAAATTAGCTGAGGTGTCGCATTCTTCTTAAATTTCAGCTTTCTGTTCACACTAGAGGATGTCTTGAAAACTTACTTATTTTCGATATAGTGAACAAAATATGTATGTTTGAATTTCTGTTCAAACTAGAGGATTCTTTCTGTTTAAATGTAAAAAAAAACTTTTGAAAATTAGCTGAAGTGTCGTATTCTCCTCAAATCTCATCTTTCTGTTCACATTAGAGGATGTCTTGAAAACTTACTTATTTTCGATATAGTGAACAAAATATGTATGTTTGATTTTTTGTTCACACTAGAGGATTCTTTCCGTTCTAATGCAAAAAAACTTTTGAAAATTAGCTGAGATGTCACATTCTCCTTAAATCTCAGCTTTCTGTTCACACTAGAGGATGTCTTGAAAATTTACTTCTTTTCCATGTAGTGAACAAAATATGCATGTTTGAATTTCTGTTCACACTAGAGGATTCTTTCCGTTTTAATGTAAAAAAAACTTTTGAAAATTAGCTGAGGTGTGAGCATTCTCCTTAAATCTCAGCTTTCTGTTCACACTAGAGGATGTCTTGAAAACTTACTTATTTTCGATATAGTGAACAAAATATGTATGTTTGAAAATTAGCTGAAGTGTCGTATTCTCCTCAAATCTCATCTTTCTGTTCACATTAGAGGATGTCTTGAAAACTTACTTATTTTCAATACAGTGAAAAAAATATGTATGTTTGAATTTCTATTCACACTAGAGGATTCTTTCTGTTTAAATGTAAAAAAAACTTTTGAAAATTAGCTGAAGTGTCGCATTCTCCTTAAATCTCAGCTTTCTGTTCACACTAGAGGATGTCTTGAAAACTTACTTATTTTCGATATAGTGAACAAAATATGTATGTTTGATTTTTTGTTCACACTAGAGGATTCTTTCCGTTCTAATGTAAAAAAACTTTTGAAAATTAGCTGAGGTGTCACATTCTCCTTAAATCTCAGCTTTCTGTTCACACTAGAGGATGTCTTGAAAATTTACTTCTTTTCCATGTAGTGAACAAAATATGCATGTTTGAATTTCTGTTCACACTAGAGGATTCTTTCCATTCTAATGTAAAAAAACTTTTGAAAATTAGCTGAGGTGACACATTCACCTTAAATCTCAACTTTCTGTTCACACTAGAGGATGTCTTGAAAACATACTTCTTTTCCCTGTAGTGAACAAAATATGTATGCTTGAATTTCTGTTCACACTAGAGGATTCTTTCCGTTTTAATGTAAAAAAAACTTTTGAAAATTAGCTGAGCTATCGCATTCTCCTTAAATCTCAGCTTTCTGTTCACACTAGAGGATGTCTTGAAAACTTACTTATTTTCGATATAGTGAACAAAATATGTATGTTTGAATTTCTGTTCAAACTAGAGGATTCTTTCTGTTTAAATGTAAAAAAAAACTTTTGAAAATTAGCTGAAGTGTCGTATTCTCCTCAAATCTCATCTTTCTGTTCACATTAGAGGATGTCTTGAAAACTTACTTATTTTCGATATAGTGAACAAAATATGTATGTTTGATTTTTTGTTCACACTAGAGGATTCTTTCCGTTCTAATGTAAAAAAACTTTTGAAAATTAGCTGAGATGTCACATTCTCCTTAAATCTCAGCTTTCTGTTCACACTAGAGGATGTCTTGAAAATTTACTTCTTTTCCATGTAGTGAACAAAATATGCATGTTTGAATTTCTGTTCACACTAGAGGATTCTTTCCGTTTTAATGTAAAAAAAACTTTTGAAAATTAGCTGAGGTGTGAGCATTCTCCTTAAATCTCAGCTTTCTGTTCACACTAGAGGATGTCTTGAAAACTTACTTATTTTCGATATAGTGAACAAAATATGTATGTTTGAAAATTAGCTGAAGTGTCGTATTCTCCTCAAATCTCATCTTTCTGTTCACATTAGAGGATGTCTTGAAAACTTACTTATTTTCAATATAGTGAACAAAATATGTATGTTTGAATTTCTATTCACACTAGAGGATTCTTTCTGTTTAAATGTAAAAAAAACTTTTGAAAATTAGCTGAAGTGTCGCATTCTCCTTAAATCTCAGCTTTCTGT